TACGCTGCTCGCCCGCCCGCAGCCGGCACGGCCGAGGAGAGGGGCAGCCTGCCCCCGGGCCGCCCCGGGCTACCTCGCTCTGTGCCCATGGAAGGACCAACCCCACGGCGCTGAGACACGCCGCCGAGAGGATTTTCCGACGTTGTTGGGGTTTTTTTTTTCCCCCTCTCATTTTTGCCTTGTTGGGGTGCCTGCAGGCTCTTGCCTTTTTCTGTTTGTTTGTTTTATCTTCTGTTGTTGCTTTTTCTTCTGGTTTTCCGGAAAGAAAACTGCGCTTCGGAACCTGGCACCGACCCGCCGCCGCTCCTGCAAGGCGAGGAGGAGGAACCGCTACGCTGGCTCCCAGGGCGGCTTCCCCGGCTGGGAAAATGAGGTTGCTGAGACGCTGGGGCCCGAGTAGAGGAGGGAGGGAGAGGAAACCTGCTGCTGCGGAGTTGTGAGCAGCCCAGGAAAGTGCGTGCGTGCGTGGAGGAGGGGGGAGAAGCAGCCCCGTCGTCCCCCCGGTGCGGATTCGCCGTCGGTTCTCTCGCCCCTTGGCGGGGCAGCGCGGGGGACTCGCCTCAGAGACTTCTGTGATTGAAGGGATTTCGCAGGAAGCGCTCCTCAGCCTGGTGCAGGCTGTGAGGTTTCTCTTTTGTGCTCGCTTGTTCCTGTTTTAATTTTTTTTTTTTTTACTTTTTCGTTATTTTTCACCTTATTTTGCTCTGGAATAAGGGAAACTTTTTATCTCCGGAAACATGTCGACGGGGGAAAGTTTTGAGTCTCGGTTTGAAAAAATCGACGTGATTTTAAAGGACCCCAAATCCGAAGTGAACGTGGACTGTTTGCTGGTGAGTAGGGAGCGCCGGTGGGCCCCCGGTCCCGTCTCCCCGAATTTCTTACCCTGTGGGACCGAATCTCGCACTCCTGGCTGAGTCACCGCCCTGCTTAACTCCGCACCGGTGTTTTGTTTACTCAGCGCTGAGCTGAGGGTGCGTGAGGGTGTCTGTGCAGGGAGAGCGGCTTCCATGGCAGGGAGGCGCCCGCCCGGTCCTGCCTCGGGCTTGTCACCTCTCTCGCTTCGTGCACCGCTCGAGGCTTCGCCGGCTGCCGTAAGGGGCGGTGGACGCTTTGTACGGAGGTGGAATTCGTGAATGCCAGTCCTGTGTGTGAGCAGAAGACCGAATGGCTTTGATATACCGATTCCCTCGTCAACAGCTTTTTTTTTTTAACAGTGAGGTGTCTTACGTTGTGGTTAAGCACCACAGCACTGCCTGCAGCCCGCTTAGCGTAGACGTCTGCAAATATCAACTTAGGACGTGTAAAAGGGAGCTCTGAGATCAGTATGCCCTTACAGGTGGGGAAGTAGTCATGGCAGGGGTTTAAACGCATTTTACACTACTTGGTGTGCTAGGCCTGGGATAGAGGGCTGCTTGCTGGTTGTTTCCCTACTTGATCATACCTGATGGTTCAGTGGATCTCTCCGTTATAATTGCGTCATAAGAAAGCAGACCATAGCGCTTCCTGTCATAAACCCAACATAATTTGGTAGTTTCTTGACAAAAGTGGATGATCTCAAAGGTCTTTTCCAACCTGAATGTTTCTATGATTCTATGATATTTTAGTTCTGACTATAAGTAGTGCCTCAACAAAGTGTATGTCAAACCCAACCAACTTGTTCGGGATCTAGTTGGGTGCTTAGATAAGCCTAGAGATGCACTTAAATAGCAGCAAACTGTAGTTTCTGCTTTTATGCTGAAGTAGATAATTTCTTTTCTCTGTAGCAAGTGGTGAAAGTTCTTTAGGGTGTGTGTTTTTGTTGTGTTTTTTTTTTTCTGGCTGTTGTCAGAGAGGAGAACAAGTAAATTGGAAGTTGTTCCTAGTATGAACTCTGATATTTGGGTTTGGGGGAGGAAGGCAGGCGTGCGGGTGGAGATAGCTCTTAATAGTCATTCCTCATCTTCTGCTGCATGGCTCTTGGCAGAAGAGAAAGGTGGTGGAGAGGTGAAAAGAATCTAATGAAAGCATCTGTGCAAGTTCATAATACTGTGTGGTCTGTTTAGCTTATTACTGATTTGTGAGCTTCTGAAGCGTTGACAGGTCGAACCTACATCCCTGGATAAAAGCAGAGCCTTTAGGACGTTGCTGCTGCAAGGGGAAGTAGCACCACATCTTCCAGTTAACTTGCTGCTTTTGATCTAGGTTACGTATCTGTCACCTTAGAACCACAGCTAATGAGAGGAGCTCTGATGCTTGGGATATACTGTGTCGATTTTGATAACTCGAGACTGCTGTCAAATGTGACATTTCTCACACAGCTTCTCTTGATGCCTAGAGTATAAGATCTGATTAAAGAGTCCAGAGTTTTTCATTAACCATAACTCCATTTGTATGTGATTTTTACACTGGCCATACTATGGGGGCCGTCCTACAGTGATAGTAAAGAGGTTGCAGGTATCAAACATGCAGTTGATAGTATCTTTAACTTCACCTTTTAGTCAGTTCAAGGATTTGCCCCTTTTTGGTTATCTTAATTACGATTTGGAGCTAAGCTGTAGTCAGTTTGGAAATGAACTTGTTGGGGTGCTTCTGTCATGCTTGTGTAAAGTTTTAGAACGTGTATTTGCATCTCAGATCTTAAGAATGTTCTTTAAAGTTACCTTTTTTATAGAAATCTCCTGAGATTCCTGGGCATACCTTTGCGTATTCTTTTAAAGGCAGGTTCTTATGATACAGACGTCAGAATTATGTTGTGGTTTCGTTCGTGTTTTTTTTTTTTTTTTTTTAGCTAACCCTACTTAGAGATACTGGGGTTTTTTAAACTAATACCAATTAAAAAAGCAAGTGCTGCTTCTGAAGAAATCATCTGGTAGGTTAACTTCGTATGTGTTTAGTCACTATATCAATCTCTTTGATGGCTGGACTTGTACTTTGTTTCATATCTCTCATCCTGAGTTGGTTCTTGGGCTCTTTTCCGTAAACTTCAGTATCCTAACACTTTCTAAAGAGTTTAAATATTTTAACCAGTTCTTAGTGTGATGATAGGCACTACAAACATCATTCTTAGCCCAAGAAACTATTTAAAAATCAAACATTGCAAGCTATGTGGATATATTTTTAAGGAAAAAAATGCTTAGGTGTAATTGGTCTGCACTTAAAAAAATATTCTAAGATGAATACCCCATTCCCCTCCCTGCAGCCCTCAGTTAAAGAGGGAGATTTGTCAGGCTTTAGGCCTGGTACACTTAAAGAGAGAACAAGATCGTGCTTTTATTAGCAGACTACATTAAAAAAAATCCTTTATTTATAAAGCCTTTTAAATCTAAAAACCTTTTTTCCCTTGATTGAAGTCACAAATTGAGGTTGTTTATAATTGCTTTCAATTTTCCTGAGCAAAGGCATTAGCTAGATGTGTATCTGAATGGTAATGTATGAATGACTGATGCACAGACACTTTAAATTCAGCATCTGATGTTCTATACACGTGGGCTTGAAATGCTGGAGTTCCTTTAGATTCAAAAACCACATTGTTTTGGCTGTGCTAAGAAAAGTCTCAGCAATGCCATTGGCTTCTATTAGTTTGGTTTTTATCCTCTTTAGCTTTACTTCATTTTGCTTCTGTTCTTACTTTTCCCCATCAGTTGTCACCTTTGTAGATTGTAGATTGAAGGCAGGCAAGGATAACCTTTACATTAGTCTTTGGTTTTTGTAAACGTCATAAGCAAGGTTCTCTGTGCTAGAAAGATTCTAATTTTATGTGTCAAGTAGTATAAGAAAGCTAAGAAAAGATGGAGGGGGCACTGATACAAAGGAGGGTGTATTACTGTCTCGAAGGTGTGGGAGCAGAGTGCTGACAACAGAGCCAGCAGAAAAGACAACTGAGGACTATATAACTTCACTTTACATGGTGCAGGAAGGAAATCCATAAAGCTGAGGTGCCGGAGCTATGTGTTTGTTTTTCCTGTTTTCTCTTATGCAACTGTAATAAAAACAGACTAAGTTGCAACTGTCTGTGACTAAATCTGTTTGTTTCTTGCGGGCTTCCATGCACTTGGTTGAGCACTAGGCTGGGAAATCACAGCTAGGCTGTCCATTTTTATGAGCCATGAGGAGGCCGAAGCCCAAGTTATACGTAAAGCATGTGCCACAGCATAATGTAGTGCTTTTCCTCAAAGTAGCAGGTACTAGGAGTCCTACAGTCCTAAAAAGAGCCAATAAGACTGTGAAGGCTGCATTGGGTAGGTAGTCATACTCTAGGGTGTGCAGTGATCAGATACTGGTGAATACCATGGGGGCGTGAAGTAGAGCCGAAGGCGATGTAAGTGACTTGGGCTTAGTGTCTTGTTAATTATATTAAGCAGTAGAAAATAGTATTCAGTGAACACACTTCTACAATGATTTTGGAATAAAACCAGATTTCTTATTCCTCTGTGTTTCTTCCTAAATCCCTGGGTTTGTGGGCTTCCAGGTTTTGATGAGTGGGGAGAAAGGGGTGTAACGGGTGGATGGTTGTGGGACATCTTGACCTCAAGCTGCCTATGCTTTTGATTCAAAAATAACTAGTAAATTTTCATGAAAATGCTTTTTGGTGCGTGCTCTGCTCTGGTAATAACTCACTAAGAGCGTTTTCATGTTTTATGTGAACACTTCAGTAACTCGGTTATTCCAAGTACTTAGTCAATTACTTGAATAGTTGATTTATAAAACTTCAGACTTTTGATGGTCTTAATCTTCAAAGATGCCAAATGTTTCACTCATTCAGCAGTTTGGCTTCAAATTAACTGACAACAGTAAACACTGCATATGACAAACTTGTTTTATCTGGTCTCAAGAGGTTTCCCTTTTTGTTGCACCAAAAATACATAAGTACAGAGCTTGATTCACCTGTTTTTCCTAGGTCTATTGTCTGTTTCATAGTCAGCTAGATGAATTCATGGTCAGCTGTTTTGCACAGAAAAAGGTGAGAAAATCTCATCCTCTTTGGTATTTGGATTTCTAAATACCTATTGTCACTAGACCTTTTTTCCCCCTGTGCTTAACTTGTTAGAAAGCATTTCTGAAGACCTTGTGGATAGGGATTTGGTAAATAAATTTTTTAAAAGTAAAGAATGTAACTCAAAGTACCTTTACTTCAGAAGTTCTTACCTATCAAAATAACTGTTGAAAGTCACCTTCACTGAAACCGCATTAACTGTGCTCTTAGAATCTGAGTGATAAAATGCTGGAGAGACGTGGTATCCAAGTCTCCTTCGCTGCTGAAGCTCATGCATAGAAAAAGTGTAATTTGAACATTTGCAGAGTGTCAAATTCAGAATGCTGTAAGTTATCTGGAGGCAGTTCAAAGTAAGGGGAAGTGTCACGATATACTAAATCTCCTTGGACATGTTTCTGCCATTCTTTAGATCCTAGTGCAAGGTCCTGTGCGTGAGTTGGGGCAGTCACCAGCATCAGTACGGACTGAATGTTGAATGGATTAGGATCTGTCCTGCGGAGAAGGACTTGGGGATGTTCTGAGAGAATGTCTATCTCCCTCATCTGACAGAGAGACTTTTTACTGGGGCCTGTGGTGACAAGACAAGAGTCAATGATTTTGAAGTGAAAGAGGGTAGATTTAGATTGGCTGTAAGAAGGAAGTTTTTTACTATGAGGGTGGTAAGACACTGTAAGAGATTTGCCCAGAGAGGTTATGGGTGCCCCATCCCTGGAAGTGTTCAAGGTCAGGTTGGGTGGGGCTTGGAGCAACCTGCTCTAGTGAAAGATGCCCTTGCTCATCACCGTGGGGGTCGGAACTAGATATTCTTTAGGTCCCTTCCAACCCAAACCAGTGATCCTATAGTTAGATCTAAAATAA